TGAAAATACACAATACAAGCAAACCTGGCTAGAAATTACTAAATGTTGCCATTTGAGTTTTCAAAAATTGCAGAAGACATGAAAGGAAAGTTCAATAAAGCTTAATTGTAAGTGTTGAAATTAATTGTACAATTGCTAAACTGACAGTTTATTTCAGCGGGCTAAAGTACATTTTAGCCCACAAAATGTGCCACAATGCCCAACAAAGTGATAATAATAGTTATTTTCAAAAATATTGCACTCTTATGATAAAGCAAAATGAGATTAAAAATCACTTTTCAAAACGTTAATTTTGTATTACACAACCCCAGAAAATGTTAAAGGTAAATTTAAAAGGCTCAAGTGGAATTTCCAACTGGATGAGGGGGTTCAAACCAAAATGCATTCTGTGGGGAGGGTATGGATTATTTTGTTGCTAGATATGTGGACTATTTTTTCATCCAGTCAGGAGAAATAGGTCTGCAGACGTGAGTAGGCATGCATGGAATCAAAGGTTTTGCCCGGCAGGCATGAGACTGGCACCTAATGGTGAGAAGTTGTTGGTATACCCATTTCTTGCTTGTCAGCCATTTCAGTGAATAAGTTGATCAGTTTGTATGACTTTGCCTTAGGATTGACTCAGAAAACAGATTTGCTTCTCTTCAATTGATCACAGATTAGAGACTTTGTTCTGAGTTAATTAGTTTATATCTAAATTCATGGGATATTGCTTTTTCCAGCAATCTGATTGGTTCATTAAGATAGATATAAACAATAGTTTTGTAAGCAAAAATAAGATAATTAAAACAACAATTGAATTAATTATAACTTTAAGACAATAATAATAAGGTTTCTTTTGGGCTAGTACAATAAATATAGCAGAATAGAATACAATACAATAACTATAATCCCTGCTTCTTTAACATGAGATTCTGCAGCGTTTGATAATGAATTTTATGTTGGGTCAGTAGTTAGAGACAGCCATTCTCTGAATGGGAAAACGCTAACCTTTCACTGGTGTCACGTAGGGACTTTGCTCATGCACAGAAAGGCTAGAGTTTAAAGACATGCCCGTTTTCGGCGGACCTGTCCACGAATGTACGACTAATAACAAAAAAATATCCTCTGGTGCCTAGGGTAAAGAGGTTGGTCGTGGTGTTTCGCGCGAAAAAGTGCGCGCCTGGGATCGCAAAATACGTTTACTCTCAGAAACGTAGCAATTGTTGAGCCAATGGACTAGCATTCTATGTGAGAAGTACCAGAAATACCCTTTGAACTAACTCCATGCTATATAAGTTAGACTAAAGAGCTGGCTTCATGAATAAGTAGGCTTAGTTTGGTTTATTTTCATTTTTACATTGACCGTCAACATTATATTTTGCTATTAAAAATAATATTCCCGACAAAGTCTTAGTCTCCAGTTCATTATTTACAA